AAGCACACCACTTACTAGGATACTGATTATTTGATTACAATGGAATATTTAATATTCTCTTATCTTATCAGTATTACCCCAATAGTCTACTCGGAAGCACTTCATGTTCACTATAAAAACGCCTGGCAATTCTTCTAGAGTCGTTTCCGTTGAAATTCCCTACAACGTGGTCTTAGTTGCTAGAACCTCAAGAGCCTCTTTCACACTTGTCGCTTGCTGAAATAAAATTAATTGGTAAAAAGACTGAATATGAGAATTATTATAGCTTTACGGTTAATTAATGATATATAGCCCATGATGCTGTGAATGGAAAACAAGCGATACCTGAAATATCATCGACGGAAATAATTAAACTAATTGCATTATATTAGATCTTTACTACCTATGAAATTTCCTACTATTATTATTACATTGGCACTAGTGTATCACTTTTGATAGTCTAAATAATAACAATATATAAATATCTATTTAATAGAACTTTTTTTTTTCGTACGATTATCATGTTACTTTGAACATATTTGTTTATAAAAGCAACGAATTTATTACGTAAAAATTAAATCCTGAGTTACGAAAATAGGTAGGTAGAGGTGAAAGTAGGGTTTTGAATTTTACATGAGGTACTTATTTGTATCTAGAGAACCCTAAACTCAAGAATAAGTGCTATTATCATTCGGCATTAGAATTCTTTAGTGAAGTTAATACCATAGGTTAATCGGTATTAGTAATAACACTCGGTGATAGCTTCGTGAACAAGGTATTATTGAGCGATAGCTTGTTTTCACCATCGGTGTTAAATAATGTAATTCCAAGGGATAAAATTGATTCACTTTTAACAATACAAAAGTTTAAACGATGACTCATAAAGTTACCTAAACATAAACGAGATTTTTTAATTAAGTACTTAGGTTTAAAATGCAGACTGGGTTATGGTTTCAACACCAGCCCTCTTACGTCCCCACTGCAGGGGCTCAGGCCTTCCTTACGGATGGTTAAGGACGATGGGCCATGACCCTCCACGCTGGCCCAATGCGGATTGGAGGGTATTAACGACTACAAATGCAGCCGGGACCAACAGCTTAAAGTGCCTTTCGAAGCACGAAGTAGCTCGAGATAATAATTTTTTGGTCACCCATCCCGTCACCGACCCTTACGAAAGCTGCTTAACAACAACGATCGCGGGCCGCGGCGCTTATCCTCTACGCCACCGAGCTACTTATGGTTACCGGTTATGGTTTCATGTCGTATTAATTTAGTGCTCTCATACAAAGTTAATTTTTCATGGTTTAATTTAGGACAACAAAATAAGAGTTCTAACGCAATTTTCATACTGCGGAAATTGATTTTTACGATAATTACCTAATTATGTGTACGAATTACCAAACCATCTGTATTGCTTTTATATAAAATTTTCTTTAAAAAATAATAAAACTATTAGTACTCTATTATGCTATTACCGAGTATACCGTGGTCAATAAATTCAAGAAGATAATTGTCTAGCTATCACCACGGTATTTTATTTTTATTTATTGTTGAAAAATCATACTATATAAAGGATAATTAAATAATATTATAATATAATTCCCTATTCAAAACTCTTAGAAAACTTGGCATCATCTTCGATCAAAATCTGTCCTGGAAGCCGTAGGTGGAGGCTGTTAGATAAAAGGTATTTGTCATGTACTATTCACTTAATTGACTACGCAACTTTTTGCCTACTAGAACTAAAGTATCTTTAGCGCATTCGTTGTTGTTATCGATCATAAACTACGCTGATGTTTGTTACACGAATCTATGAGAGGAACTTCTTTACTAATTAGAGCGCCTGCAGAATATTTGTATCCGATTCATTTTCAACCTTCGTAAATTTGACCATGCGTCGAAATTTTCTTGATTGTCTTGGCTTGGTCGTTCCAGATTGTCTTGGCTTCCTATTCGCCCGCGCAGGGACTTGCATACTTTAAAGTTACTATATTCTATACTTTTCCTACCTTCCTCTCCACATTATCTCAAACAATCTTGCTCTTTTCGTTCTTCTTCGTCACTGAGTTCCTTGCGATCCTCATACAACCTCACCTTGGACATCCGGCGTCATACTTTCGATTTCTTCTCTTATTCCTTTTCTGTAAATGATGTGCGTTTATGGAATTCTCTCCCGGAGGATGTCAGGCACACTCGCTCACTAAATTCTTTCGGCGATCGAGTTGAAAGCTATTTCCTTTCTCTATGCTAATGCTATTTACTTATACTTTTTTATTTAATATGTAAAGATATATCTTATCATATCCTTCTGACTATTGCACTCAATACCCCATATTTTCTATTGACGCGTCTCGAAGAGAACGATAAAGTATTTAAAAGGCAAGGCTTAGTGTGTAAATACGTTAAAACTCCGACTCACTCTCTCTGAATTATATCGAAATTACATGAAAAGTTACACATATTCCTCAATAATTACAACTTATTATATTAGTTTCAGCTTTGATTCGAAAAAGTTTTAAATAATAAGTATATACTTTTGTAAACTATATATGCGTTATTAACGCATATGCGTTATTCAATAAATAACTTTCACTATTTACCTATGAAAGATTTAGTCTGATAGAGGATGCCTAGGACAAAGCGAACTGCAGGCTACTTATTAAGTCGACTTATAATTCTGAAACAAGCAATCGATATCTCCTTAATTCAAAAAATGAAGGTGTCCTTTTACTCTGCTTGTCATAATAAATAGTGGTTACGTTAAACTATAAACATTCACGAAAACTTTAAATAATAGTCATTTCTATCGTATTTGAATAATAAGAATTTTTTAAATTCAGTAGAATCTCGAAAAGTCGAAAACCTCCATTACTCAAAATCTCAACCCTCTATTAGTTGAAATAATCAGTAAGTCCTCCCTCCTAGCTATTTTGGTACATATTTTCCCTACATAACTCGAAAAATTTTGTACCTCTGTATGTCGAACACAGTAATGTTTTTATTTTACAACTCGATTTTCTGAAACGCCGAAAGAGTTCAAAGAAAAATAAGTTACCGACTTTAAGAATTAGCCGACGATGGACCTAAATTACACCATTATATCGTATTAAAAAATTTAGGAATATACAATAAATAGGATTATAACAAATTTATGACTCATGGTAACACGTGTTTACTTGTTTGGTGCAGGTGTTTAAATTTATTATTTTTATTTTGTTGAATTTTGCAAAAATATGTTTGGCAATCTCTACAACTTGATTTTTATTTATTTTACCTCTCTTACGCAAAATTTATTAGAATGAAACCATGTCGAATCAAAATCCATCTAAATCGAAAACTCCCTTGATGTTCGACTCACAGAGGTCCTATTGTATAAGAAAGAATTCTGTGTTTCTATACGTTATATTCGAGATACGAGTACTACGTATTTTAACAAATAAAGTACTTAGCTGTTGACTAAATACATCATCATCAGCCCTTTTACGTCCCCACTGCAGGGGCTCAGGCCTTCCTTATGGATGGTTAAGGAGGATAGGCCATGACCCTCCACGCTGGCCCAATGCGGATTGGAGGGTATTAACGACTGCAAATGCAGCCGGGACCAACGGCTTAACGTGCCTTCCGAAGCACGGAGCAGCTCGAGATAATAACTTTTTGGTCACCCATCCCGTGACCGACCCTTGCGAATGTTGCTTAACGACAACGGTCGCGGGCCGCGGCGCTTATCCACTACGCCACCGAGCTACTTCTAAATACTCCTTAATTAATTATCAAATATTCCACATCACTTGCATACCTCTTATTATGTTTTTATTTTTTTGACGCTGAGAAATGCGTTACGCATACCCGCTTCACCCTGCGCGGGCTCCACGGGTGATGTGGGACTCCTCCTGTGGCCCCACCCCACAGGGGCTAGACAAGATACAGAAGTTTACCCACTAAAATTCAGCGATGTCCCTCTCATGGTAGGCGAGGCGCGGGATCGGGCCGGAGGACATACACCGCCACTTGCATACCTCTCGTACTAAGTATTACATTAACTAAAGAAAATATATTCAGTTGAATTGCAGTCTCGTTTTATTAACGTTTATAATAATCATTTTAAAGAGCATTATCAGATTATGACAAAAGATATAATGTCACAAAAGAAGTTGACTGCGATATGCAATGTACCTACATGCTTAATTTTTTACAGTTGATGTTGAAGGTGTAATACCGATTTTATATGAATTTTTAATATTCTATACAATTTTTACGCCTCTAATGTTATGACTAGTCAAAATTGAATCAGATTTACTTTTTATAATCGGAGTGTTTATTAAATCAAATAGACGAGCGAAAGAAAACGCAATCCTTATCGTGGCATAAGAAAGTCAAACCCCAAAAAATAATCTCAACAACAGCTGTCATTCTATCATAAAACTATAAGTCTTAAGCCGTTTATATCAAATTAAGTAGAAATCGTAATATGTTATAGAATTTGTATTTTTTGGGTATTGAAATGGTCTTCCTTCTTTTGTTAAAATAAATTTTTATATAACTGCATTCACGTTCGGCCGCCAACAGTAGAATTTAATATTGTTTATCAAAGCTGACTGATGTAATACCGCATAATGTTGTATCTTCACTTGTTTATCCAAGACAAACTTAAATTAATATAGGTGTTGCTGAGATGAAATTGGAAAAAAGCAACATATGTAATGAAATTATATTATTTAGTGTGCCGTGCCTAAATATGAAAGCTAAAAAGGAATGACTAATACTATATTGCCTAGCGCGGCCAAGGCTGCAAAACTTCCTGTGGCTATAGCCATTGTACAGATTTTTAAAATTATCTTTTTCTTTTTTTTTAAGCTTGATTTATTAATTTACCTATTTGTTAATTTGTAAACGATTCAAATATTGTAATTGGTCTCTATTTGGTCGCTGGAATAACTAGTAGATTCTTTTTTTTTTACATGTATAAATGTATAGTTTTGGCAATTTTCTATTTATAGTATTTTTTTTTTATGGAATAGGGGTCAGCGAGCAGACGGATCACCTGATGGTGAGTGATTACCACCGCCCATGGACACCTGCGGTACCAGAGGAGCTACAAACGCGTTGCCGGCCCTTGAGGGGCGACTATGCTCTAAATAATAGTATTTTTATATCATAGATGTATTGCACAAAGTATGCTTATAAGTTTAGATTTAATACTTTAATTTACCCATTGGTGACCTTGTACATACTTGCAGCTTTTGATACCGGTCTAAGTCAGAGCTTTAATTAACATACCTTTAACTATACAAATTTTAAAGAAAGGAAAGATTTATTTGTTTGCATTAATTAAGTAGGCTTCGAAACTAATGGACCTATTTAAAAAATGTTCGGAAGCTACATGATACACTGGTGATATAAGGTTCAATTTACGCGTACGAAGTCACGAGAAAACATCTAGTTTTAGTTGTTTAAAATCACTGTAAAATATTAGATCACAATTATAATTACAATTCAATTGAAATTAAATTCATTTCATTTTATTGTCAGTTTCGTCGTTGTCGTCGTCGTCGCCATTAAACATCTTCCGATATATTTTGCCAAGCAGCATGCATTTTGATAAAAAAAAAGCTTTGCTTTTTCAACCTCTACTATAAAAAATATTCTGTTTTAATAGTTACTTTCACTCAAATTATAAATTGCTTGAGGTATAAAAATATTTTATCAAAAATAAGAACACATAGGACTGATTTTTTTTTCAGTAATTTTGTCCTAAAACGCTTTTTTCTAAAAGTCAATACTTATCGACTTTAGGCTAGTGAAATTGTCAATTAGTAAACATAAATTCACGATATTTAATGGTTTTTTTTTTTAGAATAGCGCAAAACTATAAGTACTTGTGGCTAAAAAATAGCGTTTTTTTAATAATATCCCGAAAAACACATAATTTGGTTATGAATTACTATCACTCATGACAATCTGTAGAAGTTAGACTAAGTATAAGGGCTCCTTTTTATCTAGACGGTAATTTTTTCGTTATCTGGTAAATTTTGGCGTTCTTGATGTCGAAGTCAACTTTGACTTATTTTGATTTAAATTCACTTTTTGTGAATTGTGGTTAACTTTAAATGATACTCAAAATTGCATAGAATCTACAAAAATACTAATAATTGCTTAAAGAGTACATTCCCAAAATATATAATTTGTACACTTAATAACCAGTTCACTAAAAGGTACTAAATTAAATTAATAATATGAAAATTAAAAACACTGCTGTAAAAATTTAACTGAAAATCGACGAAACAAGTTGTATTATGGCTTGGCTATAGAAAATGAAGTACAAGACGGTCCCGCGAATGCAATGAAAATTTTGTTGAGCCTAACTATAATACAACTTTTTTTCTTTCTTTCATTTTCAGTTTAATTTTAGCAGTCTTTTTTAATTTGGTTTTTCTTGTTGGTTATTTTTTTTAAGAAATTTTGTCTAATTCTTTTATAACATTACTCTTCTTTTGTCATAAATTAATCTTATAGTAAATTTTATATTGGGATATTTTAATTACTTGCATTCTTATACTTGCTTCTATTTCTCCTTAAAACCACATTATTATTTTTTATATCAATTTAACATAATGTAGTAAACTTGGAGAAAAAACAACTTCAAAATAATCGAATAATTCTTATTCTTATAAATTCAGTATACTAAATTTTATTTCGGGCGATGATTTGATGACAAAATTTTGACTTCAAATGAAGTTTAATTTGTCGTATTAGATATTGGTCTACGATTTTAAGGTCTGTTTATTTATGGAAAAAAAAAAACATTTTTATTATGGGGTTCCTATGTGACAACCACCACATCGTTCGTTTTGGCGATGTCGTTCTCCCATTTTTTTAAACTAACTTAACAAAAAAATGTGTAACATGAATACAAGAAAACAGTCAATCTATTCTTATTTTTTGAAGTTGGTTAAAAATAAAGAACTCTATAGAGATACTAATACAACGCTAGCGAAGTTGCGGGCAAAAGCTCGTCAACAATAACAGTTACTAAGCAAAGAGATAAAATTACCACGGTACCTACATCATTGCAAAGAAGTCGTTATTGTTATTTCTAATTTTACTATTATTTAAAACTTCTGTACTATAAACGACGCCCTAGACAATACAGGTCTTATTTTATAAAAAAAAGTTTTCTATTATGTTGAGGACCTGAATTTTTTAATAGTCTTCTAATAGTAGAGACCTATTGTGTGTTAATCTTTTCTTGAAATTATCAAAGGTTCATATTATTTTTTTATATACAAGTTAAATAAGTGACATATTCAGTAATAATGAGAAACTTGTGAACCTATTTAAAATAATTTATTTATTGGATATTATTTATTTAATAAAAAAAAGAACACATATGGTAACATGAAAAACTTCATACATGGGATACTAAAAGGAGAATGGATAGACAAAAACTAATAACATAATTACATGAAAATCTAATACTCAAAATAATTTACATAAAGAAAAAAAATCGTAGTAAATATTCAGCTAATTACAGTATTACATACAAAATTAACAACAATTCGCTACACTTAAACTAATTATACGATACAGTTATGAAACAAAAGTATTTAAAGATCATGGTGATAATTTTTACTTCTCCAGTAATCTATCAAGTCCTTAAATCTATCATTACTCTCACGTCGTCTTCTAGGCCCTCGAAGAGCTGGTCGTTTTAAAATATTACTAAACTTATTTACTAAAGCAGTCACAGAATTCTTCATAGCATTATCTGTATCCGCACTTTTAGCGGTAATGCTGACTTTAGAGGAATTCAGCCACTGAAAAGCCTCGTCGATGTATTTATCGATATCACCGGTATCCATTTCGGTCTCAGCAGTGTCATCTAAAGACAACCCTCCATACGATACACTGCGTTCGACGACAGCTTCTTTGACATTCTCCTTTCGTCGTCGCATTGTGCTCGTTACCTTGTAGAGATCCTCGATCGATTTGAATATGGCATCTATTTTATTACATATTAGTTCCACAGATAAGGCTGACAGAATCTGGCCATCGACAACGTAGGATTCTTTCCTGGGCTCATCCACCGTATCAACATGTTGAAGGCCCTGAAGAAACTCTGTGTAATCTAGAAGTGCTGATGTCTCGGAAATATGGCAAGAGACTTGCTCCCTTGCGCTGTTGGATAGAAATGACGATGTACACCGATGTAGCTGAGGCGGCGAAGACGGGATGTCTCCTTCTTCACTGTCTGTGTCCAAGTCTATGGGATTGCCCCATATTTCTTCAAGTTTCCTCCATTGGTCGATGGTCGCGAGGATATCGTTGGCGTCGCGTAATATGGAAGTCATTTTCGTGTCTCAAAGTAGAATGACGGGAGTTGGGCAACGTTTGCGCTTAAATAGTCCTCTGGGCGCACTGCGCTGTGATTGGTCGACGGTCACGCTTCTATAAGTGCTAATGCATACGCACAATTTTTGTTATTACAATGGCTGTATAATGTTATAATTAAATAAAAGAATAGTATGAAAATTCATTGAAAAAAGTGACTGTAAAAATAAAAAATAAAATATTCAGTTATTCATTAATTTCAGTTATTAAAGTAAATTAACAATTTTATTAATCTTAATGTGTAAGCACACACTTATTATGGTTTTTGATAAATATTTTATCACTTTGAAATACTCAGAAACTGATTGCCAAAGTTAAATTAATCTTAAGATGGAACAACAAAGTTAAGTTAATCTTAAGATGTTCGTGTAAAACCTAAGATTAACCAATATTTAATGGTAAATTTCCAAACTGTTTTGTAATCATTATTCATTTAGAACTTTTACCATTACGCACTCTGTAAGTTTTTGGTTTGAATTGTATGATGCCTTGAATACATTTTTGGCAAATAATCTGTGTAAGTAAAGATTATAACTAAATATTCATAATCTCAACGACACAGCAAGTTTTTACTTGATAATACTAAATCAGCAACTGGTATTTCGATTAATGTAACCACCAAACAGTAGCTTTCAGAAAAATAATTGAAGGTTTTGGATATTAATTCTAATACAATTATATTTACATTGATATTCTCAAAAAAAACGACGACAATACGAAATATAAGCGACGGTTACTATTATAGTTTCGTACATGTTTTTTTTTTAATAAGTTATATATTTACATTGTGATTTTTTGCCCAAATTTATAAAGAATATATTATAGTAGTTCAATACGCTACCAAAACATTCCGAATTTATAGTTACTACAAATCTTTGGAATGCTGATTGATAAAATTGTATTATAATTACCCGAAAACAAGTATCTAATCTAATAAAGGCCAAATTTTTTCGTTAATGTAATCTACATTATTTTAAGATTTTGTTATTTTAAGTATAATAAGTGATCTAGTGAAAGAAACAAAAAATTGCAGTAGAATTATTATAACTCGTTTTCGTCATACTGATATAATACAGTTAATGAATAAACCATTAACAAAATTCAATTACCTTACAACAATTATATTTAACTAAATACTTTGTTTAATTATAGACACTAAAGATGTACCCATTAAATACGTTTTATTTAAAGATAACAGGGAAAAATTGTAAAAACTAATTAAGTCATTATATAAAGAGGTCGAAATCAAACATTATTTTTACAAATGGGTCTCTACCATTAGATGACTATTTAAAAATTAAAATCCCTAACATAATAGAAATAGTTTTGTTTATGAAACAAGTCCTGTTCTGTCTAGGGCATCGTTAATAGTACATTTGTTTTAAATAATAGTCAAATTGGAAATAACAAAAACAACTTATTTGTAATGATGTAGGTCCCGTGGTAATTTTATCTTTTTACTTAATAACTGTTATTGTTTACTAACTTTTGCCTGTAACTTCGTTTGTGTGGTATAAGTATCTATTTATTGTGGTTTATTGCAATTTTTTTTGTTTAGTTAGTTTAAGAAAACTGGGAGAACTACATCGGCAAAATGAACTTGATCTGGTGGTTATCACATAGGAACCCCATAATAACAATGTTCATTTATATAAATTAACAAACCTTAAAATAGTAGAAAAATTCCTATTATGACAAATTAAATTTCATTTGAAGTCAAAAGTGTAAAAATTCTCTCATCCAATCGTCGCTATAATCAAAATTGAATATATTATATTTATAAGAATAAGAATTATTCGATTACTTGAAGTAATTTTTCTCCAAGTTTACACTATTTGTAAATTGATATAAAAAATCATTATTTGGTTTTAAATAAAAATGAAGGTTTATTCCTATGATTTATTAATTTCGAGATGGTGATTTTACTGGAAGGCAGCATAAAATTATCTTTTAAACCCTGTAACGTCATTCTTGTACGATAAAACTTATATGAGGAGGTAAGAAACGTTTTGTTTCATTGAACCTCTACATCACACCAGCGCTGTGCTTGACTTCGGGTTCGAAGCTGTTTCTTATTACATAATAGATTCTAAAACTTCATTCCAATGAAACCAATGGCATGGGTAAAACTCCATAAATCTTGTTTCAAAATCAAATTAGTAAATTTTATAAAGAAAATCCACATTTTGTCGTATAATAATTGTATAAAATCCATTTAAAGATAATCTTCATCGATATGAATTTAAGAAAATAAAAAAACTAAATTTTCTGATTTTATGTTCGAAGACAAATAGAATCATGTTAATTCGTACGAGTTCTAATAATTTATACTTATAATAAATCTGTAGAGAGGTCAATTCTGTACATGAAATATATTTCCAAAATAACTATCAGGGGGTGATTAGGGATCGATACTGATGCCAAAAATGCAATCAGTAAAATTTTTGTCTGTCTGTATAACCGTTATAGAAACAAAAACTACTCAACGGATTTTAACGAAACTTGGTACAATTATTTTTCATCCCGCTACTTTTCATCACGCTACAATCAATAGGAGCAGAGCAGTGAAGGGAAATGTTGGAAAAACGGGAGAAGTTACTCCATTTTTTAAGCTTCCGTCGCGTGTGCAACCTTAATGGTTAAAGCTACCCAGAAATCATGTATGACGGAAATGTTCTCCTTAAAATTATATAAAAAATATCCCACGACAGCATATGTCTATCTTTTATGGTTGACTCACAATAACACGTGTAACTCCCGATAGCTTAGCAGTTCCAAGCTTTCTGATTGTATTTGTCTACTCTTACGTTTATAGCATTCTCAGTTATCCCTCATTAAAAAAGTTAACAGTATTAAGTATTCCATAAAAAATAATCATATAAATCCGTATAGAAACACCAAAGGTATACACATGAAATACGCTAATAATAAGCCATCGCGCGTGAATACTGAATCATGCTAGAAGGATTGTTCTGGACATATGTAATATTATAAAGCTGAAGAGTTTGTTTGTTTGAACGTGCTAATCTCAGGAACTACTGGTACGAATTGAAAAATTATTTTTGTGTTGAATAGATCATTTATTGAGGAAGGCTTTAGGCTATATAATATCATGCTGCAACTATTGGGAGCGAAGAAAAAATGGTAAACGCGGACGAAGTCGCTGGCAGCCACTAGTGATGTAAATAATATCATTCTTGGTTTCGTTGATGTCTTTTGGTCTTTCATACAAAGTTTTCAGATTAGTTTCATTGTAACAATTGTTCTTCTTTAAACAAACAATTAAGTTGATTTTGTAACATTTGAGAGTTTCTATAAACCATCACTAACATATAGTTTCTAAAAAAAAAAAATCAAATTTGATTAAACAGGCAGATAGCGACAAATGACGCCTCTGTAATAATGCAGACACCGTGGTATTTCTACACCTTTTGTTTAATGACTATTAATGTTTATTATGTTATTAATTTATTCTATTTAATTGGATTTCGACAAAAATTTATAAAATGGTATTTTTGCAAAGTGTAAATGTTTCAGAAAAAGCGCTTTTATAATACAAAAACAATGACTAAAGAACATAAGTCAACTTGTATTTGTCAAAAGTGAAAATCTAAAAAGTCAAAACGTGATAACTCAAATACTTCACAAATAAACTAAGTAATAAAACAAAAGGCGGATTCACCAGAAAATGAGACCAAAAAAAATTACGTAAAACACCAGCCAGAAATTTCCCCGATGAGGACAGTATTATGAATTTAGATAAAACCTTACCACACGGAAACACGTTAACAAACCAATCAATTAACGATTCCGATTTTAAATTACTTTCAGATATACAGAAATAGGCAAAAAGCTCAGATCGCTCTACAAACACAAAAGCAAGAAACTAGTTATCAAGAATTATCTGATACAATAAAACTACTACAAACTTGTATAATAAATGTAAACAGGCAGCATGTTAACTTTCAAACGGAAATTCAATCATTACGATCACAAGTGGACAGAAATACAAATAGAAAAGTTGCCTTGGAAAACGAAAACTTACAAATTAATTTACAAAGGAATTACAGAATTATAAACAGAGTGTAAAAGCATAAGTACAGTAAATAATAAAATTATAACGAGAGAATTAAAGGATATGGTAGTACAAGAAAAGGGAAATTATAACAAAAAATATATTGTTTTATATGGCCTTACTTAATCTCGATACCAAATGAAAACGTTTATAAACGAGATCTGAAAACGACTTACCTGAAATGATTTTGAACATATTTTATAACATAGTTGAATTAGACCAAACAGGTTACATAAATAATATTTGCCGAACAGATACAAGAGGCATAAGACGACCTTTAAAAATTTAACTACTGACCAAAAAAATTACAAAATACATTGTAGATTGTGTAAAATACTTTAAAAATATTGGATTATGGGTAACTGAGTATCTTGGTTAATTAGACCTAAAGCGTAGGAAATTACAAAGAGAAAATTACCTAAAAACGAAAACAACAGTAATTATTTCAACATTTAGAAACAATTTTAATAATAAGCAACACAAACACAATGAAAATATCAGGACCACTACAAAAATACCTTCTATGAATGTGTCATCTCCTTATAGGTAATGAAAAATAATATCATTCTTTTCACCCTTAAAGAAGAAAAGGAATATAACTTAATTTATTATCAAAATATAAGAAGCATTAGAAATAAAATTCACGTAATAGACGCTATTGTAGAAAAATATGATTTTGCTGTGCTGTTTTTCGGAAACCTGGATAACCAAATCTAAGAATAACCTACTGTTTTTAGAAGAATATACCCTAGCTAGCCAGTTCTCAAGGGACAAAACAGAAAGAGGAGGAGTATTGTATATTTGTTAAAAATCAAATTGATTACGTTGAATTTAATAATGTTAATAGTTTATCAATGGAATTCATAATTGAAATATGTGCCGTGC